TCCCCAGTAACAGTCTATATTAGGGGTCCTATTAAGGGCTATATATAACCCTATTATAACTATTATCCAACTGTTTCTGAGGGGGGGCAGTACCCAAGGTTTAGGGTTCTGCACTCCGAAGATAGGGCTTCCAACAGGCTCAGCCTTTTGCCAAAATCTTATGGAGTAAAGTACTTTTCAGGGTTGACGGTCGTGCTTGCTCGAACTTCACCCTTTTGCCATTCTCATAAAGTTGCAGATGGATGACAGCTTTCTAAACTCAGTCTGTACGAAGCTCTGTTGGTGAGTAATATTTGGTCGTTTCCCTAAATAGAGGGATCCCAATACTATGGTCCTTTTTACAGGGACCTTTACACTGGTGCCCCGAATTTGGCAAATTCCCATTTGGTAGAACTAAGACACCAACAGGAACGTTCAGCGGGGTAGGGCTAGCATGTACACACACACATGTGCATGTCTATATACATATACGTGCCTACGAATTTATATGGTACAAAGGATTTCGAGGTTGTCTTGGTGAATTCAAGCCAATTTGGTAAGGGATATTTATCGAGAAACCAGAGGCCCAGAAGTAATGAATTTCTCGAATAAATCATACTAAGGGAATTTTGGCGAGAAGACTCGGAACTAAGGATCTCTAAGCTACATCGATAAGTTTAAGGCAGCTTAGTGAGGGTATTTACATATGGAACCTGAAATTCCCTGTAGCTTCTGCTGTGAGTCAACATAGCAGAATGTGTGTGCTGTGTACCGTCCGCTTAGTCAGACTGTTGAAACATGCCAGGCATGGAACATATTCTGTTCAAGCTTATCATGATTCAGCGGGTTTTTCACCTGCATAGGGAAAATATTTCGACGTCCGACAACAAATGAAGCATAGTTTTGTGGCACGGCTTCAGAATTGGAGCGAACAATTTTTACACACAACGGCCAGCCATCGCATAAGCATGTGCCGCTGCTTTATGATATGTTTTTCTACCATGTCGTACCCAGTATTAGCACTACCTTGAGCCTTCATGTGTGCTTGAACTGCTTCCTGCTGCTGTCTGGCTGATCCGCGAGCTAGCTCAATAGTAACCCTGTCACCTTGCTCGGCGCGCAGGGAAGGACGCCTGCTGGAAGCTGAGGACGGAACGAAATGCTGCATCTTCATGCAGTGAGAACAGTGATAACATTAACAACAGTAATAACAGCAATAACAGTGATAATAGTAATAATAGTAATGATAGTAATCATAGTAGTAGCAATAATATTGCTATGTTAGTTGTAGGCGAGATGGCTGCAATGAAAGCATAGTTCAAGTCAAGGGAGGATACGAGAAAGTTTGGGCAGTATTATCACTATCAATATCTTTGTAGTATCACTACTATTCCTATTACAAGTATTACTATTCTTATTATTATTACTATCATTACTATTATTACTATCATTACTGTTATTACTCTTATTACTCTTATGACTTTGTTGCGAGCATCCCTGTTGCATGTCTGGCTCCTACAAGGCCAGACTCATGCGCAGAGCAACGACTCCTAAACCCCTAAACCCCTA